ATTTCTCTTTCTATCTCTATCTCTTTCTCTTTGTTCCGTCGATTAATCAAAGGGGTAGTTTATTGTCATTCCGTCCAAGATCAGACAGCCACTTCCACCACTTCTACCCCATCGGCAAGAGGGCAAAGGGGCGAATGGCAGGCAAGGGAGCAAGACGGGCCCGGCGGGGGATGCTTCGCGGTCTGATCGTCTCGCGAGCGTTCGAGAGGAGTGATTTCACCGCGACGGTATTCTCCAACGATTTTCCACCCCTAAAGGCCTCCCACCCTTCCTCTCTTTCTCTCCCCCTCTCTACCTCTTTCTCTCTCTCTTACCTCGAAGGTAGACGGCCTCCTCCCACCGCCGACACCGCGGCGATGTCCTCCGGCGAAGATCCTGTCGAGGGGAGGGCGCAGCGAAGGGGAGGGAGAGGGCTAACACGCTCTTCGAATAGTACGAGGATCTCGAAGAGTCCTTCGGCAGTCTTCCTTAATGTTTCTTAATTACTCGCGTTCATTAATCATCGGGTCTTTTGATGTCCGTTGAATGCTTTCTTTTGCCGCGTGATTCGCGAGAGCCGAGCGAGAGCTCTCGGCTAAAGCACTCGAGCGGAAGGCTCGAGGCTCGCACCTGAAATGGCGCAACGCGTCCTGACGAAGCACCACCGCCTTTCTCCGCGGGGATTATCGTCCCTCTGGGGTTACCCTCCCTTCGGGGGCTTAGGGCAGCCGTTAGGCGATTCGACAATGGCGATGACAGATCGGTCAACTCGGTTGCACTTCGACACACGCACGATACTTCCGTTGTTATCGTACTGGTCCTCAATTTCCGTCGTGATCGATCATCTCCCACGTATTGTCTCGTGGATCTTCTTTTTTCGCGAGGAGAGAAAAGACCGTCAAAAATATAAGATGTATACAGTTGCTACCACCGTTCGTTATACGAAAAAACGATGATATAAAACGTATGTAAAAAACGGCAAAATACTCGAAATCGACGAGGCGTGTTCGTGAAATTCGTTCTGGAATTAATCGACTCTATTTTTCGGATGCTCCGTTTTTCATTGACGCGGATTATTTTACTTCTTGACAGCGCAAAAATTTCACCGCTATATAGTTACGGATAGTCATACACGGCCGTTACACACGGTCGTTCGTTCTCGCTTCCGTGCGTTCTCTCTCTCTCTCTCTCTCTCTCTCTCTCACTCGCTCTCTCTTTCTCTCTCTCTACTCTCGTTAACTTCCTCTAAAAAATTTAAAGACTAATTTAGGATCAATCCTTTTCAGTTTTTTATAACGATATTAGTCGCTTTGATCTGCAACAACCCGTAATGGGCCGATTTTTTTTTTCGCGAGTAGATACAGCCAGTCACGCACAACGAATGTTCGTGATTTCGCAAAAAAAATATATTCCAGTTAAAACTTCCGTCCTCCCGGTTTATCCTTTACTTTTTTAAATTAGTCAGTGGAAGTACCGATCACACGCACATCTCGCGGGCGAACCATTTATTCCGCTTTACCACCGACCACCGACGGCTCGGCACTGAATCCCGGCGTTCCCATCGGCGCCGTCGTTTCTCACGCTCTTCCCGAGGAGATTTCGCACTCACTCGCAGCGGGAAAATCTCCCCCGTCCGATCTCGATAACGATCGCGGTCCGATCGCGGACCGATGGCAACGACGGCGGTGGCGGTGGCGGTGGCGGTGGCGGTGGTGGCGGGTCACCGGCGGGTGACGACACCGGCTGAATTTCCCACGAAATTTCTCGCCTTCGGAGTGCGAGGCGCGGCGGCTTCAGCCGGCGTTACGAGAGCAGGAGAGCCGCCGTTTTCGCGCTCCCACGGATCCTCCTTCGCACCGCGCTTTTGGCACACGGCGAAGCACTCCTCGCGACGCGTGCTGTCGGCGTGCGACACGCTGCACACGCTTCCTCGTCGCGCGGGCACGCCGCTATAACCGTCGCGAGAGAGGACGACGACGCGCGCGAGACGGGGCGCCGATCGATTTTCGCGAGTCAGTCCGATCCGGCCGCCTCGCGTTTCGACGCGTTTCGATGCTCGCGCGATGTACAACCCCCTACGCCGACGGTGGCGGCCGAGGCGGTGTGGTGGAGGTGGCGGCGGCGGTGGTGGCGGAGAACGTGCCGAGCGCGCTGCCGCGCAGGGCTGTCCGCCCGAGGGGTGCGCCACACAGGGTGTCCCGGAATTGACCGAGAAACGTATATACCGCCTCTCGTCGTCTTATACCTGCGGGGTTTAACGCAGGAACTTTTCCTCGCCGCGAACGTCGAGATGGATCAGCGTTTGGCACGAACCCTCTTGTTTCGATGTTCGATGTCCTATTAACCATCGCTGCGTGATTGAATCCCGAAATAACGCCTGTTAAGTTAGATTGACTGACGCGTTACGTTAGAGATTGATTACTGGCGTCTCTTAGTTTCGAACAATACATCGCGGAGCGAATGTCGGAAATAGCGAATTAATTTATATTTTTAAAAAAATGTGACACGACAGGAAATGATAAGAGAAAAATGGAAAATATATTTAGTATATCAGGGAATTGAGAACACCGCAATTCGATTCTACGTTTCTTCTAATTTGTGATAGCAATTAGTCGTCTGACACGAGCTTAAGGACTTTTCTTTCTGAATCCTCAAAACTTTCGTGCGCCAAATGAAATTTTTTCGAAAGTTTTTTTTACCTATGCGTGTTTTCTTTCATTATATAGTTAAAATAACGTTACTTTGATGAATCATAAGAGAATATGACGTTTACGTCGAGAGTTTTATCAAAGCCATATGTTTTATTAATCTGATTTCTTTCTTTTTCAATTTCTAATTCTCTCTTTCTTTCTTGTCATTTCTTCGCACGAATGCCAATGAAAATTAATAAAAATTTAACAAAATATCAATGACCAAGGTCTACTCCAGAACTCTCATCTATAGACTTTCCTGACGAATGTCTATATTTATTGCGAGTGCGACTGCGCGAGCGGTGCATTCACGCCGTCGCCAGGATCGGAGAAAAGTATTCATGAGAAAACAAATTGGAGGTACCGGGAGTCTAGCTGATATACAGGGTGTTTCATAAAGTTTACATCAAACTTGAGAAACGTATTCTCGGCGAATTTGAGATGAACTTTTCGTTCGCGGAAAGTTAAGCGGAAGCGGAATTACTCGGGTTCGCTTATTGTTAGCCTTAAACATTCAAATGTGGATTGCGTCAACTAATGGATGATATCGTTGTGATGACAATTTCATACATAATTTTTGAAATATTTAATTCGAACTTTTAATTTGAAATATTAATTTAATCGAGAGTCCACGATTGGTTCACTCCTAGTTCACCGGAAAGATCAGATTTCAGCTAAAGTAAGAAATCAAATCGGCAAATGTCTCGAAATTAATTAGAAATCAATTATTAAATGACTTCTGAAGTTCGATGCGAAAGTTGGCGAAGTTCACGCGCAAAATCCACCGCGAAAAACATTGGCCTGCTGACACAACTTCGGTGAACTCCTCGAGAAATCGAATTCTCTTTCAAAGAGAACCTTTCGCGTCGTCGGAAAAATGAATGGTTATCGCGCATTCCCGCATTACGTGCTCTGTTATTGATAGGACACACCCTGTATTTAGTGGTACGCGTAAAATGACCGGGCCATCTGTCTTACGAGGGTAACGGAGAGGCGAGGGGGAGAGGGGGGGAGGTGAACGAAGGCGAACACCGGGATGGGCGAAGATAACACGATGGAAGACTCTTCAGCTGAAAAAAAATACGAGCGCGATCATCTAATGTCCTGGAAGCCGGGGTTTTTTCCCTCATATCCAATCCAACCCTGCGTAGTAATAGTCTCGCCCTTACTGAGCGAAGTCACGATGCTTTAGGGGTGGGTGATAGACACAGGGGCGTATAATATGACACCTTCACGCGCTTATTATGAGCCTCGCGAGCAAGCGAACGAACGAACGAACGAACGAACGAACAAACGAACGAAAGAGAGCGAGAAAATTTCTGTTCTCGTCCTACTCGGCAATTCGTGTATCGAGTTGCGAGTCACACGTAAACGTGACATCTGCCTGCGCTATTTTTCGCGAATGAGAATTTTCCGCTCCGTGTCAGAATAATAGAAATCGTCCGCGAGAAAATTGCCAAATTTAACGGATCTAATTGGCATAAAAGCAATAACATGTCACTTTTCTATTCTATGAAATTATTCATGCTGTAAATCCATTAATGCCACGGGACATCCGACATCTCGGCGTCCGTTGAACGGGCGTCGTCGTAAATGGCGAGGGATTATCTTATTTCATTGCAAAATATTCAAACATTCGATTTTTTTTTAATGCCTCGAGACGATTAAGAATAAATGCTTAGTCGCTTCTCTCTCGGGCTATTCTGCCTGCCAGAAAAACCTGTAATTTATGTTTCGTCTAACGCTCACGAGATATACGTCGTATATTTTTCAGGGGGTGTCCCAGTTCGATACGCTCATTATGTCTAACGTTATAATTTACTTTCTTTTTACATGCAAGGAGATATCCGGCGAAATTCCATTAAATAATAACAAGGTAATGATACGTGCATATCTCGCGAGCTTTCTTAATAGAAATGCGAATTTTTTTCTTGCAACTCAACGCGATGAACGTTAATGCGCGAGCTCCTTTCGCCACATCTGTGCGACCTAAATTTTGATTTAACTCGAACTAAGTTTTGTAATATCGAGCAATTATAGAGGGGGGAGGGGAAAGGGGAGAAGCTTTTCTGCAGGCTAAAATGGAAATTGCATATAGACAGCAATTACGTTCACAGTACAATACGGTTACACCATGACGGCCAAAAATTGAATGGTATATTAAGCTGCGCATTAAATAATTAATCGACATTTTCGGATGATATTTCGAATCAGTCAATATTCACCAAATTGAATTAACATCGTTAAGAATCAATTATTGACCTCGATATATATTTTCTCACGTCGATTGGGAATAGAAATTTAGGTGACATGGTAAACTAATAAATAAATAATTTTGATTAGCTCCGAGTGCCATTAAATTTGTACCGCTATGGAAGAATCGGAGATTACTCGGGAAGGAAATCATTTACGACGTTTTAAGGGTAAGAAAGCGTGACACGGAGGTTTGCGACTTTCTTTGTGAAGCTACGTCGCGAGCAGACGATGTTAGGGGAGGAATCAGGGGTGGCTCAATATTCGTCTGTTGGGGCGGTCTTTCAAACTGCCGGGTGTCGCTTATCTTCTATATCAATAATGTCCTTACCTCACATTACATTCTGTTCGGAAGTTATTTAAATACGTGGGGAAAATTACATACTCAGGAGAAATACGTGAAGGGCTGAGCACTTTTTATCATATTACAGTGTTTACAGCACTTTAGGGGACTCTGATCACGAGATATATAAATACAAATTAGTATAATCCCTTCCTTTCAGGGTCCATTAAGATAATGACATAATTAAGAAAAGGTTAGGCTGTTATAATGAACATTTAAATTTTTCATGAAATTCAAAGTACATATAAATTGTGAGGATATCTTAACAAGAACAGTACAAGAAGCAATTACTTTTAACCGTTTCTATTTTTTTAATTAATATTTTTTTCTAACATTACACATACGCACGCACATAGATAGAATTTTAAAATTTCCCGACTTTAATATTTCAATGGAATAAAGAAAGTAATTGATGCAAAGTTAGAGAATTTCAAAATTGTATTTTTAATACGAGAACAAAGTTATTCATTTAAAAAATAAAAATGACTGCTCAGCATTTTTAATATTAAGAACAATAATTTAGTCATTTAGATAATTCATCCGAATCATCAAAAAAAGATGTTCCTCTTTTTAACGTAAAAGCGAATGGTGCAAAATAATTTAATTTATCGCCTTTCTTGTACAACCATATCCATTGAACGAGTTAAATATTCAATAAGCGAAAGTGCATCGTAACGAATATGATTAATATTAACTAATTGCGTCAATATTTATCTCGCATTAAATGCATGCCGCTGACAATATTAGCTTCACGATTGTCCGCATCCATGAAAATCTCCGCGTGGAAATGCGGCTCGCCGCTGGCCTCCTTAATCCACCTGCCGAAAATCGGGAATTAAAAGCCCCGCAATTAGCCGCGGCGAAAATAAACCGGGTGAAAACTAAAAATTAGTCGCGAGCGGACACATCTCCCGTGTATTTCGTCCCCTACGATTGACTCAGCAACGGGCGGGAGGGTACGAGGGATTGTGAAGGGCTTATAATTCAAGAACTATTATTTCCTTGCCCTTTCGACGACGGCGCCGGACGAAGTCATTGATGAATTGACTTGTTACCCGGGTCCACTACGACAGCTCCTACGGTGATCGACGTTACGGTATGCATAACGATGCGCGTGTCAATCCCCAAAAAGCAACGCGGGGCGCCGCACGTGTACGTGCCGACATGCGTGCGTGCGTGCGTGCGTGCGTGCGTGCGTGCGTGCGTGCGTGCGTGCGTGCGTGAGTATGTGCGTGCGTGAGCGTCAGATTCGAAACGCGGCTTCCGTCGCCTTTGGGCGTTTCCGCAGGGCGATCGTTAACACCGCCACCACCCGCATCCAGAAATGTCGAACGCAAGATCTGATCTTTTCAAAACCGTCACTCCCCTGCTGGACGTTAATTGCAATGAAGAAAGAGAGAGAGAGAGAGAGAGAGAGAGAGAGAGAGAGAGAGAGAGAGAGAGAGAGTAGAGAGAAGAAGAAGAAGACGACGACTCGCGAATTAACTAAGTACGTACGACGACCGGACGACGTCGGTACGGTACGGCGCGTCGTCCGCCTTCTTAGGTAACGGAACGGACGGCCGGTCCGGTCGCGCGTCTTTCGTTCTAACTAACGTACGACGGCGGTACGTACGTACGCGTACACTTGGTCCGTCCTCCCGTACCCGGTACCGTAAACTTAAGTAGTAGTGCGCTGTGTCGTCGTGTACTTCTTTCTTCTTTCGCGACACACACACACACACACACACACACACACACACACACACACACACACACACACACACACACATGTGGGCGCGGGGGT